GCATTTTTTTAATCATTATTTACTCAAAATCAATTTCTTATCCCGTAAGGTGATTTTAATAGCTTAGCCCCATATATGCATCATGTATATTTAGTATAATATATATTTAAGACATGTTTTGATTAGATCTGTATTATTACATTTGTTGCATTATGTGATCAATTATTAATTCTCATTGCATTATACCTAATTTTTATGTGTTCTTTATTATAATGTGATAATGCTTTTATAATATGTAATTCTTTTTTGCCGCTTATATTCATTATATTCATCTAGCTTTTTGCCAAATACCTAAATTTATAAAACAATATAAAAAAAATTATGCAATAAAAGATCAAGCCGTTACAGAAAAAACAAACCATCATTTAGTCAGATGCAAGTTTACTGCATTATAATTTAGGAAGAATAAATCAAACCTATATTTATTGCAGAGCCAAATTTTGGATGAATGAAAAAGAATGAAATAGCACCTTATCATCTTTAAGATTTACTATATATTGTAGAAGTGGCAAAGTTAGCTTACCTTCATTGATTGATCCTTCTCTGTATTTGCTAGAATTATTTACTTTCTCAAGTTCTGATGTGATAAATTTTCAGAAAAATATCAGAGCTTATAATAGCTTTTTAGCATGCTCTTCTTTTAGTGCTAATATTAATGAAAGTTTTCAAGATCAAAGTATGTTAAATTTTAAGATCTATTATCAGATTTATCATTATATAGGGCCTTTACTACTTTCTAAAGATCAAAAGTCAGACTTTGTTCAGTTTTATATCTATGATACTGATCATAAAAATAGTAATAAGCTTCATATTATGTATAATATAAATGCTAAAATTTTACAGTCTTTACAGATCATATTGAATTAAGTAAAAGATTTGTTTTGACATAATGAATATGCTGAGTTTTTAATGTGAATTTATTATAATCGTTCCTATAATGTCTACTGTTATAATATTCCTATAACTTCTGATATTACAGTGATTATGGCCAGCAATAGTTATGATATTAATCTAACTAATCATAATATTATTCTTAATCTCTGTGATGGTGCTCTACAAAGAATATCAAAGTTATATCCTTCCTATAATTTACTTCAATACATGCTATTGTTTCCAAATGGTGATGATAGATAACATTTGAATATACCGCTTTTAGAAAATACTCAAAAAAAGATTATATTTCCTATGCAATTCTATTTCTATAGGTTATAAATTAGAAATAAAATTTGATTATACTATATAGGCTGTTTGTTTTAGCAGTATGTAGTGAACTAATATTTTAAAATTAAATAATATCATTTAAATATTTGAAATTAAATTAATCAACTCTTTATGCAAATTTGTACAAAGACATTACTGATGTTATACATGTTGGTGATAGTAGTAGCAGTATTAGTCGTTATATTGTTTTTTCATTTTTATTTGTTAGTAACCCTCAGCAAATGTATCAGTTGTATTAGGATGCTATAACCATTATGAGTCATTTTGATAAATCTGATCTTTTTGTCATCTTCACATGTAATCTTAAGTGACAAAAGATTACCAGAGAATTATTACCCTATCATTCTGCTGTGAATAAACCTGACTTGATAGCATATATTTTCCATATAAAACTATAAGAATTGTTAAAGATTTGTGTGAAAAACGTGTTCTTAGTGAAGTTATTACCTATATTTATATAATTAAATTTCAAAAATGTGGGTTTTCTCATATTCATATTCTCTTAATTCTTATGAAAATTCAAAACTTCATTTTGTGAAAGATTATGATTCTATAGTTTCTGCAGAAATTTCTAATCCTGCTAATCATCTATTTGCTTATAAACAATTATATTATCTATAATACATAGTTTATGTGATGCGCTTAATCCTTTAGCTTCATATATTAAAGATAGAATATAACAGAAATATTATTTGAAATCTTTTCAATCCACTACCCAGTTAAATAGTAATAGTTATTCTCTTTACTGCAGGTGAGACAATAGATTTTTTATTGAAGTTAGATGTGAAATCCATTTAGATAACATGGGTAATTCCTCATAATTAATGTTCTGTATAAATTCATATTTGTCAGATTCAAATCTAATTCAGATTTGGATTCAAATCAGATTTGATCTGTCAGATTTAGATTCAGATTTGAATCTGATCTGTCTGATTTGAATTCAACTTTTTTAAAGCCAAAAAGTTCCTTTTTAATAAAAAGGGATGAATTTTTAGACTTCTTTAGAGCCAAAAATTTATTTCCTTTCATTGAAAAGAAATGAATTTTTGGATCTCTTTTAGAACTGAAAAGTTCCTTTTATTGAAAAGAAACAAATTTTTAGAACTTTTTTAGAGCTGAAAAGTTCCTTTCATTGAAAAGAAATGACTTTTCAGAATTCTTTTAGAGCTGAAAAAGTTTCTTTAATTAAAAAAGAATGACTTTTCAGAACTCTTTTAA